TATTAGTTTTGTAAATCAGTTGAAGATTAATAAAAGTTTTGAAGTTCAGTTCATCTTCAGGGCTTTGCTTCTCGGCCTTAAAGATATGTATTTTATTTTATTACATAGTATTTTATATACTTAGTTTCTCTCCTCAGCCGTGACAATGTCTGGCTAAACGGATTCATATCTATGTTGAAAAACTAATTTCTCTTGCATATTAACCATGAAGAATCCAGACTCTTTCAAAATATAAAGGAATTTTAATATAGTTTCTTGGCTTGGTTCCAAGATTGTGGTACAGTCGACTCTGGTACTACTCTTATTGGCTACGTTTAGCCAGCTGTGACATTAAAGCCTACTGAAATTGTCAAAAGGGCTATCCCTTTCACAGTTAGAACTGCTAGACACATGGGCTCAATAAGAGTATGTATCGGACCTAGACAGGCCCCTTGCTTGGGTAAAAGGATAGATCCTTCCATACAGTCATTAAAACTATAATAAAATTCCCGTATATTTCGAATCTTTACTGGTCGCACGGACTACCGCCAACCTTCAAAGGTACTGAAACAGCTAGATCTGGATGGTCGTGCGGACTACCACCCGCCTACCCTGATCCTGGTGTAGATCCTTTTCACGAACTAGCTATTATACAGAGATATCTATGTTGAAAAGCTAATTTCTCTTGCATATTAACCATGAAAAATCCAGACTCTTTCAAAATATAAAGGAATTTTAATATAGTTTCTTGGCTTGGTTCCAAGATTGTGGTACAGTCGACTCTGGTACTACTCTTATTGGCTTTGCCTTAGTGGCTACGTCTAGCCAGCTGTGACATTAAAGCCCGCTGAAGTTGTCAAAAGGGCTATCCCTTTCACAGTTAGAACTGCTAGACACATGGGCTCAATAAGAGTATGTATCAGACCTAGACAGGGCCCTTGCTTGGGTAAAAGGATAGATCCTTCCATACAGTTATTAAAACTATAATAAAATTCCCGTCTATTTTGAATCTTTACTAGTCGCGCGGACTACCGCCAACTTTCAAAGGTACTGAAACAGCTAGATCGGGATGGCCATGAGGACTACCGCCCGCCTACCCTGATCCTAGTGTAGATGGTATCAGAGCCTAGGAATTTTCATGGTAAATATGTAATAGATATGAAATATTCAACATAGATATGAAGCTTTTGGAATGAATCTGGGAGAAACAAGTACTAAAAGTACTAGACTTGAAGAGGTAGATATACCTCAAAACCTTGATTTATTAAATAAATGGACAATTCCTAAAGTTTCTATAAAAACCATTTATGATTATGGTTGGTTTGATAAACTTTCTTCTAAACAATTGATAAAAATGACTGAACNTTTCTAAACAATTGATAAAAACGACAGGGTTAATTCATAAGGGAATATATATACATAACATACAATATATACTACAAGAAAATACATAAGGTAATATATATACATAACATACGATATATACTATTAGAAAATATATAAGGGAATATATATACATAACATACAATATATACTACAAGAAAATATATAAGGTAATATATATACTATTGTTTTGTTATTTTACTTTTTCGTCAAGCACTTTAATAATTAGATTTCTACAAATATATTTTTTATATAGCCATGATATGGTTTACAAGAAATTGCCTTAAACAAAAAAATTTTTTAAAAAAAGCCCGGAAATAAAAAAGCCCATTAGGCCCTCTAAGCCCACGAGCCCGGTCCGTTTAGCCCAGGACCATATGGGCTTCGGCCCGTCACGGGCTGGTTCCACCCGTTGAGCCCACGAAGCCCGGGACCGTTAGGCCCGGGACTGCCAGAGCCCAGGTCCGCTAAGCCCAGGCCCGTTTGGCCCATTTAAGCCCCGGGCCCGACCCAGAATACAACATTAATTCAGTACACTATCCCAACTGAATATAATAGTACTAACCAAATACTTCACTTTTTTAATTAATTTTGTGATATTCAGAGGTAATCGAGGAAAAAAGAGACATGAGCTCAGTGTGAGCTCTAATGGTGGAAAAAACAGATCGTGCAAAAGAGAGAGAGCACAAATGAAATTTCTAGAAAGGAGAGCTGATTTTCATTATTTACAACTCAAATGAAAATATACAATTAATGTCCTATTTATAGTGTCTAAACTAATACCTAATACCAACTAACACCTTTACTAATATCTTATGTAAGCATTGTACAAGTGAGGGAAATAAAAGAAATGAAAAAATAAATACAATATAATACATGGTGCACAAAACAATGTATATGAATAATCTCAACACCCCCCCTCAAGTTGGAGGTGCGGAGCTCACTGCCAACTTGCCAAGAAGTGTAGAGTGCTTGATTCCTATTAAAAACTTGGTGAAGATGTTAGCTAATTGATCATTAGTAGGGACATGGTGAAGGAAAATTAACCCTTCCTGCAGCTGGTCTCTCACAAAGCGGCAATCCACTTCAATATGCTTCGTACATTCATGGAACACAAGATTCTTTGCTATGTGTAAGGCAGCTTGACTATCATAGAATATGGGAATAGGCAAGGTTAAGGAAACAGTGAGTTCAATAAGAAGTCTGGCCAACCATACAATTTCACTAACAACCATCCTAGCTGACCTGTATTCAGCTTATACAGAAGATAGGGAAATAGTGGACTGCTTCTCATATTTCCAACTAATAGGACTGCCACTAATAGGCTTCTCATATGTACCCACTAACTGATTTTCTGGACTAGGGACAAGTGACCCAATCTAATTCACAAAAAGCCTTCACTCTATAATCTGCATCATTGCTAAGGCAAATGCCCAAGGATGGATTACTTTTCAAGTACCTTAAGACATGGTATGCTGCCTTCAAATAAGGTTCTCTGGGACTTTTGCATGAATTGACTGAGATATTGTACACTGTAGGCAATGTCTAGCCTAGTGTTAGTGAGGAAGTTAAGCTTTTAAATCAACTTCCTATAATAGGAAGGATATGCCAGTGGAGCTCCCTCATCAGCCTTTAACTTCATAGAGGAATCCAGAGGGGAAGTCATAGGAGGACAATCTATACACCCAAACTCTTTCAAAAGATCCATAGTGAATTTCTTTTGTGACATCAAAACTCCTTTTTCTGTATATTGAACTTCCAATCCTAGAAAGTAATGAAGCCTCTCTAGGTCTTTTATCTTAAAGGTATTATGTAGAAAAGTTTTCAAGGATTCAATATCTTGTAGATGAGTGCCAGTGACAAGAACATCATCTACATATACAGCTGCAAACACTACTGAAACTTCAGTTTTCTTATAGAACAAAGAATTATCAAGCATTGAGTGAGTGTATCCCCTAGAACATAATGCTTCAGTTAATTTATGATACAACTGTCTACTTTCTTGTTTGAGTCCATACATGGACTTGTTTAATTTGCACATTAAACTTGGTGCCTCCACAACTAGGCCTGGTGATACCTCCATGTATATCTCTTCATGGAGGTTTCCATGAAGGAATGCATTATTAACATCTAATTGTAGAACCTGTCATCCCTTCTTGACTGATGTTGCTATTAAAGCCCTTTCAATTATCATTTCTACTACTGGTGAGAGGGTTTCTGTGTAACCTATCCTAGTTTTTTGTGTATAGCCCTTAACCACTAGTCTTGCCTTAAACCTTTCTATACTAACATCTGCTTTATGCTTGATTTTATACACCCATTTACAACCTATTGCCTTCTTTCCAATTAGAAGGGGAACTAAGTCCCAAATTTTATTTGCATACAATGCTTGGAATTCTTGATTCATTGCTGCTTGCCAGGTAGGCTACACAACAACTTCCTCATATGAACTAGGTTCACATTCATGTGAGGCAGTTTCCATCAAATGCTGACTGGTAGAATTTAAAGCATTAAGTAAATTGTTATGAGGCTTGGGTACAGAGGTGCTGAAGGAAAAATACTGTGTACTTTGGCTATCATTTAGAGAGGATGATTGGTTCTGATAAGTGTGCTAAAGTTTGGGAATCACACACTCATAGTTTTTAAGATAAGTAGGAATTTTCAAAGTTCTGGAAGGTCTATTCTAATTTACGACTGAAGTGCCTTGATCTTGGATTGTGACATTTGTATTGTGAGGAGCAGCAGGAGAAACTTCACTTGGACTGTCAGCAACAAGAAAAGTTCCTGATGTCTGGCTGCCCAAGGGTGACTGAGAAAGTCTGGATTCATCATCAAAAGGGTTAAGTTGAGGTGAAATTAGATCTGATTCAGAGAATGGCTCAATCCTAGTCAGGTTCTCTGGTGACACTTCATGGTGATTTTCATTCACTAAGTGTGGAATACTTCCTATATCATTGGAAAGAAAGAATTCATCTGATAAATGTGACTTCATTTGAGGAAATAAAGGGAATACCTTACTTGAACTAGTGGACAAACCAAATGAAAACACACTTTCATAGTACACTATATCTCTTGAAACACTTCACTTCTTAGTGGCCAGATTTAGTACCTTATAGACTTTTATACCAAAGGGATATTGTCACACCTCCTTTTTCCGCCCCTCACGAGGGTACAAGGAGTTTTTTTCCAATTAAAGGACAATCGAAACGGGATTTGTTTATTTATTTCAGAGTCGCCACTTGGGAGATTTAGGGTGTCCCAAGTCACCAATTTAATCCCGAATCGAGGAAAAGAATGACTCTGTATTACAGTCTGCGAACCAGAAATCCGGATAAGGAATTCTGTTAACCCGGGAGAAGGTGTTAGGCATTCCCGAGTTCCGTGGTTCTAGCACGGTCGCTTAATTGTCATATTCGGCTTATTTATCTGGTTTTATACAATTATGAGCTCATGTGCAAGTTTTAACTCTTTACCGGTTTTATTATTATATTTTTTTTAAAAGAATGTGAACATCGTACATCGTTTAAAATATGTCTTTGGATTACGTCACATGAAATGCACCCGCAATCCGGAACACATTTTT